TCCAGGTCGCGGCAGTTCACTGATTCAGATGAATGCAGGCAACAAGGAAGAAGGATCACTCGACACTGCGTGTCTTGAGGCGGCGTTGCCCCAGCGTTCAAAACAAAACAAGCCAAGGAAAGAAAAGAGACGACACAGAAAAACAAAACAAAATAAAACAAAACGGAAGGTGAGAGAAAAAAAACAAAAAACAAAAGCAAAACGTCGGCGAGAAGGATGGGACAAAAGACCAAAATAGGCCGATTGGTATGTGAAAACGACGACGCTAAGAAGAAACGGCGGGAACAGCCGACGGTAAGGAGTCAGCAAGGAGCGGAGTGCGACCACGGTTGTCCCCCAGAGAGCGCGAACGATGTTTCTATAAAAACCATGATGCACAGACGGCGTCCAAGGCAGTGGAGTAGAGATGCGCAGGCACAGGCAGAACGCTTGGGCCTGGGTCATCCAAAAAATCGAACGATGTACGAGCCGCCCTGATGAGCACCAATGCGTCCGGTCCACCACAATCCATCACGGGCCTTGTACCACAGTCGCGCGCCAACAGGGAGGGGCGAAGTGCTGAAACGGCGAAGCCAAGTCGCATTAAGCACAAGATCAGCCCCAGGAGGCAAATAGCGTTCTCCACGATTCCGGGCTAGCTCCCGCTGTGCCGCGCGAGTCCGAGCCACTCGATATGTACGGTTACCCTGCTTGCTTTGGCAGGCCTCCCGGGACCAGTACAAGAGGATGTGTCGACGGAATAGATCAAGGTCGGATTCCCGTTCCCATGAAGGAGTAGTCAGGCCTACCCAATGCGTCTGGTACAGGACAGCGAGAACGCCGCTACGGCCCCGCACCAGTTGATGTCCCGAGATGTAGTCGACCTCGAGGCGCCCGACAGGCACCGACACATCATCCGCGGTGACGTGGCAAGGTGGACATTTATCTCCGAAGGAGTGCAGAACATAATAACCCGAAAGCTCGGCGGGCAGAAATTGCGGCAAGTCGTCCGTCTCGTACGGATTGCGACAGGGCTTGCAACGAAGGATAGACACGCGACAACGAGCTGCCGGGCCGGAAAGATCGGAAGGCAGGTCCAGGTAGAGGAGTTTATGCGCCAACGGGCGGCCGTCCGGAGTGGCGTCGGCAGAGGTGGGACCCACCGCAAGAACTTTGTAGGGCCCCGTCCAGGAAAGTGCGAATTTGGCCTTGAGCACCTGTTGGTCCGTGTCCTTCTACACACCCTGTCGAATTGTAGCAGCCGTGTTGTACACCCAAGCCCACCCGCCAACGGTAAACTGAGGGAGCTTGTGGATGGCGTCCAGCAGGGATGAATTTCGGCGTTCGACTCGCGAAATCTTCAGCGCGTTGTACTCACGGACAAGTTCGTAGGCCCGGCGCTGGCGATCGCCAGCCAGGTTGCAATACTCGAGTTGATCGCGGGCCAAGCTTTGATGACCACCTACCGTGGGACGATCGAAGACCGAAAGCGGGAGTCGCGGGATGCGTCCGATGTGGATCTCGTTTGGCGCTAATCCAGTAGACTGGTTCACGGAATTGTTGTAGGCAAACTCAACGTGCGGGAGATGTATGTCCCAATCGTTTTGCTGTTCGTTGACGACCACCGCAAGCATCTGGGCCATCGTGTGGTTGACGCGTTCCGTGCCGCCGTTGGTCTGTGGGTGGTAGGAGCTGGTGGTGACCTTCTTGATCTTCATCACCTCGTAGATCGCCATGGAGAGCTTCGAGCAGAAATGCAGTCCGTTGTCCGACAATAACGTAGTCGGACATCCCCACTTGGTCATGTATTGGTTGACGAAGATGTGAGCCGTCCCTCTCGCCGTAAATTCCGCCGCTGTAACTGCGAACATGTCGGCTCTCCGACTGAAACGGTCTGTGAACAACAAAATGTAGGAGTTGCCCTTGGCAGTCACTGGCAGAGGTCCGAAGAAGTCGACGCCGACGACCGTACCAGGCCCCTGCGGCAATGGCATAGCGATGACGGGCCACCGAGCAGTCTGACGTGAAGTCTTGCGAGCTTGACACACCAAACACGCCCGAAGCCACCAGCGATCGGAACGATCCAAACCAATCCACCAGTAGAAGCGCTCGAGCAGACGCTGTGTACGATGGACGCCGAGATGGAATGACGCGGCCGTATGGCATGCATGAAGGACCCACGGACGCATCAGCATTGGCACGTAGACACGGGGCACGCCAGTATCCGGCAGACGAGTGGTCCTGCCGCCAGAGCGCCCAACCGGCGACGTCGCCGATTTATGTACGAGGAGGGTGATGTTGTCATCGGTCGTGTGCAGTCTGGTTTTCGCCGCCAACACAAGCACATCATCTAGCCGAGGGGAGCGAAGAGGAGCACAGAGAGTGAGCAAGCCCGGAGGGGGTGGGGAGGGAGAACCGCAAGACAAAAAACGCATAGCCACCACACACTCGCTCTCCCGCTGCTGTTCCCTAGCCCAGTTCACAGTGCTGAAACTCTGAAAACAAGCCCGCAAGTGGGAGGTGCCCAAATCAGAAGATTCCGAAAAATAATCAGGCGATCCAATGGAAGAGGCGGAAGAGGGCGAAGCCTCAGCGACTGGAGCAGCCGCAGTCCGGGGTAATGTCCGCGAAGGGGACATTGTGAGTGGCGAAGTCCCGGGCGAAACCTGTAGAGAAGGCGAAGTCGGGGATGCAGGGCGCGCCGCTAACGGCGAAGACACCGGTGGCGCAAGAGCAGTCGACGAAAACGCTGATGCCGGCGTTGCGGATGGCGGCAGCAGACGCGCGGCGGTCCGGGTGGTCTTGTTTGTCGAGCGGGACCTGCTAGAGCGACGGGCAGGCGACGATGTCCGAGGGACGATGGTAGCCCGCGGCTGACGTCCGAAATAAGCGGGACCGGTGACGGTGCCTCCGGAAACTGCGGTAGTTTTGGCCCGAGTCCGTGAAGAAATGAGCGGTCCCTGCTCCGGAAGCGAAGTCAAAACATGCACATATCTAGTCGCCAAAGACGCGACAGGAGACATCACGCGGGAGGCATCCGACGTCAATGAGGAAGCAGGCCCCAAAGATGTGAGAACAGGCGAGACGATGAAGACCCCCGGGGACCGCTGAGAATTTTCGCAGGCAATCTTTGAGTCCGTCGGAGCATCCACCCGACGC